ACACGAGTAACATAGAGATTCGGATCTACGACAAGTTCCCAAGACAAGAGAGTAAGAGACTGTGTTCTTCAAAAAACATTGTTTATGATATTACTATTTATAACTTTTTCTTTTTGTCGACATATACAGATTTACTGTAATTTGTTCTCATTTCTGCTAAAGATTGGAATCTTCCACGTGTTTACTCCAGATATAGTGACTGACAATTATTTTTATTTATTTTTTCCATGACTTAATGAGAGTAAGATATTACAAAAATAAGGAATACTCCTCAGAATTTTTGTTCAAAAGTAATTTTCACTATAATGTTTGACAGAAACAAGGTTTTTTCTATTGAACACCCTAATTTTTTTTAAAAAATTTGCATTATATTTTTTAATCATGCTAATTGAAAAAAAGCAAGCTAATTATGAAGCCCAAAATATATGGGCCTATGAAATGATAGTGGGCCAAAGACGATACGGATGTGCCACTCCCTCGCAATCTCATCATGCGATTTGGCTGTTGCAATCCGTAGTCACCACCAAGCGAGCATCTTCTTCTTCTTCTTCTTCTTCTTCTTCACTTACCGGAATAATCGTAAGCAGCTCCGATTGGTGAAAATGTGTTGCTCTCTCTCCATACAATCTTCAATAGACTTCCGTAATCGAAGCTCCCTAAAAATCCATGGAGATCGAGCAATCTTGGATTCGAACTTACCTACACTGAGGAGGATTCCGTCTTTGCCGGAGCGAGATCGCCGGAGAAAGTTGTTACTCTGCTCCGGTAGAAGCGTAGGCTCGTTGAGATTCACCGGAAATACTGCCGTCCATTTATGTGGTATTCCGCGTCATCGATTAAGAGTGTCTTGCAGCGATGCTCGCCGTTCGCCGGAAGAGACGGCGGCGGAGATGACGGCGCAACCTAATTTTTCGGAATTTATAACGTCGGAGAGAGTGAAAGTGGTCGCGATGCTTGCGCTTGCTCTGGCGCTATGCAATGCGGATCGTGTTGTTATGTCCGTCGCGATTGTTCCTCTTTCGCTTTCTCGTGGATGGAGCAAATCATTTTCCGGTATCGTTCAGGTTATTCTTTCCAGATTTTTCAAAGAAGGCTCTTAGATTGTTTGGGGAAAATTCAGTATGAAGTTGTTCTTTGCACCAATGTTCTCTTTTGTCTAATATTTTATTGAATGTTGCTTTTGGTAGTCATCGTTTCTATGGGGATACTTAATTTCACCAATAGCTGGTGGAACTTTGGTGGACCGTTATGGCGGTAAAGTAGTCATGGCGTGGGGTGTGGCTCTGTGGTCGTTGGCTACTTTCCTTACCCCTTGGGCTGCTGATAGTTCTTTGTGGGCACTTCTTGCTGCAAGAGCTATGGTTGGAGTTGCTGAAGGAGTAGCTCTTCCTTGCATGAACAACATGGTTGCGAGGTAGTGATATTTGTTTCTCGGTATTGTTTCCAAATGTGACAGAGACACACACACATGTTTTTGAAACGAGTCAGACTCTGGTTACTGAGATTTATTGGGTTCTTAGTGATGGTACTTTTGATGTAGATGGTTTCCCTCAACAGAACGTTCAAGGGCGGTTGGTATCGCAATGGCGGGGTTTCAGCTTGGGAATGTTGTAGGACTCATGTTGTCTCCTATTCTTATGTCTCAAGGTGGTATATATGGCCCATTTGTAATATTTGGGCTATCGGGGTTCCTTTGGTTGCTCGTGTGGCTCTCTGCGACATCAAGTGCACCAGATCGACATCCTCAGATTACAAAGTCTGAACTTGAGTATATAAAGCAAAAGCAGCAACCATCTACTGGGGAGAACAAACGAAACACCACAGGTGGAATACCTCCTTTTGGACGCCTTCTCTCCAAGATGCCAACTTGGGCTGTTATAGTTGCAAATTCCATGCATAGCTGGGTATGTATAAAGATTCCTCTCAATTCAACTCTTCAATTTTGTTACGATGAGGATGTTTTGTGGAAATTGTTAGCACCAACTGCTGTGACTTCTATGATCAGGTGTTTTCCTATATGTTGGAATTCATTTAACTGACTTAATGACTTATTTCCAGGGTTTCTTTGTGATTCTTTCATGGATGCCCATATACTTCAATTCAGTAAGGCCCTAGTACCAACAAATTTAAAAATAATTTTTGTGTCTTCTTAAGAAATTTATAAGAATATTGTGTCGCAGGTATATCATGTGAACCTCAAACAAGCTGCTTGGTTTAGTGCCGTTCCATGGAGTATGATGGCTTTCACAGGATACATTGCTGGTTTTTGGTCGGATTTGTTGATACGGCGTGGTACAAGCATCACCTTAACGCGAAAAATCATGCAGGTTCGTGATTCCTGTGTCACAAGATTTCATTCAAATAAGAGGTCTCTTAGACTGAAGAGTTCTGTATACATATCAGAATGATGTTGAAGTCTTATGCAATAAATTCTGGTGCATTCAGCTTTCTGTTTCTTTTGCTGACTGGGAGTTTTTGTTTCTTGTCTTGGCAGTCCATTGGTTTCATTGGTCCTGGAATTTCTCTCATTGGTCTAACGACAGCAAAACAACCTTTAGTAGCATCAGCCTGGCTTAGTTTAGCCGTTGGGCTTAAATCATTCAGCCATTTGGGGTTTCTTATTAATCTTCAGGTATCCAAGCGTGTGATTCATACTTAACCCACTACAAATCTTGAATATCTTTTAACATTTTCTTCTCGTTTCAGGAAATTGCTCCAGAGTATTCGGGTGTTCTACATGGTACACTTTCTAATTCTCCTTCAATAGACATTGGTTTCCAGAATTCCTATTGGTTCATTATACACAGATAGCTAATTTGTTGTACCTATGAGAAGGAACTAGCCTCAGAAATTAGAATCAATCAAATTTTTGTAGGGGATCTGGAAACATTTTACCAAAAATCTCTTAACCGTTTCGGCTTTGTTTTAGGAATGTGTCTTACTGCTGGGACTTTGGCTGCGATAGTTGGCACAGTTGGAACTGGTTTCTTTGTAGAACTATTGGGCTCCTTCCAAGGATTCATCCTTCTTACAGCAATTTTGTATCTCCTTTCTGCTCTCTTTTACAACATATATGCAACTGGAGAAAGAGTCGATTTTGACACAACAGGTCCGTCACTTCTCTTATTCTCCGGGTTATGTTGTTTGCTTTTCCTGTTCTGTTTCATTCATTTTGTATCAATATTTTGCATCATTCTTATGGGTGCATATGCTGGTCTTCTTAGTTGCTTGAAGGAGACCACAAAGTCGGTTAATAGGTGGATCAGCTAGTAGAGAAGTTGCAACTCTAAATAGAATCAGCTTTTGCTCTCCAAGTAAATATCAGGAACAAGATATATCTCGGCTTTGTACAGAAACTAGGAACTAGACTATCTCCCCTGGTAATCTCCTTGATAAATAATGAAAAAATGTACCAAGTTTTCTATGTTCAGTGTCATGAAACGCCTTTGAGAAGATAATGGAAAGTTCCCATTATTTGTATTATTTGTTTGTTATACGGTTCAATGGTATATATATAGAGGAGGATTTTCATCAAATATTGTAATGTAACTAGACTTTAACCCGCGGTACACCGCGGGGCTATATTTTCTTAAAAAAATCAAAATGTAATTTGTTTGATAGATTATTTTGATTGTTAATTTTAGGATTTCACCCGTGGTATACGATCTTTTATAAATATCAACCCAAACCCGTCCCATCATATCACCCGTGAAATTAAACATTATTTAGTTATTTTTCTTTTTAATAATACTTTTATTTAAAAGCTATATAATTCAAGTCAATTTAAAAATTTCTTTTAAATGGTTCCCATAAGATATATATACATATATATTAAATTTGTATAGAGTTGAAATAATATTAATATTACAAATTTTTTATATAATTTAAATATTATAAATATTTTTAAAAATATGTAATATATATTTTTTGTTATTGAATAAGAGGATATTATGTGTAAGAAATGTAGAAAATAAGAGTTTAATATTTTTATTATGGAGTCGCAAAAAAAATCTTTTATTTCTATACATGTTATTCATTTATTAATAATAAAAGAAAACAAATCCTTTAAATTAGATATTAACTAAAATAAACGCACCATAATTACTTATTAAGTAACAACCAATAAATTTCACCAAAAAATAGGTAACAACCAATAAATTCTAAACGCAGTAATTAAAGAATGAGATATTAAAAAAATATATCAAATAAGATATAAAAATCTTAAAATAATTGAACATCTAAATAATTTAATTGTTAGTGTCGATTTTAATGCCTTCATTAATGTGGATTTTTTTTTTTTACAGAAAAATATTTCCTAAAGATTATCACATTAATGACTCAGAAAATTAAGGAAGATATGAATTTATGATTCTCGAAATCGTATTGGTAATATCTTTAAGTAATATTTTTCAAATTTAAATAATTAATGCCAATGGCATTCATCCGTAAATAAGGTCCAACTTCAGGATTTATTTGCTAAAAGTCATTCAAAAATGTATATATAGATATAGATATAGATATAGATAGATAGTTAGATTGAGTAAGGGCACGGAAGCAGAGAAAAGTGAAGTTGCAGGTGCGGATCCGTGATTTGGGACCTTGATGTTCGCGCACTTTCTCTTCTTCGTGATGTGCATACACACGTGTTCGTGTACCTCAGTCCTGTTAATAATTTCCCACTTTAGTCCTTTCATTAATACGTAAGCGAGCCACTACGTTTGGATTTTACTCAAATTGGTTCCCTTTTCATTCTTTTTTTTAAACAGCTTCTATCATTGATTAGTGAGAACAGTGATCCTCATGGAGGATGTTTACAAGCCAAATAGGTACATAATACTCATAATAGGTTCCCTTTTCATTCTTTTCTTTGCCAAAATCCCCTTAAAAATCACTTATTTTCTTTTATTTTTTATTTTTTTGCATCACTATTTTCTTTAATGAATGGCCACATTGCGTTATCAATATTTATTTCTTACTAAACTCTTCTTGAAAATGATCAATGGTCCCCAACTACGAATACAATGGTGTTCTTTTTGCACGAAAATAATATTAAGGGTGTTGCTAACTAAAAAACAAATAGATGTGGGTGCTGCTTTTAGATATTTTCAATAAAAATTACAAAAAGTTCTTCTGAGCTTCCTCTGACACATAAAAACCTTCACTTCACTCTCTCTTTTCTTGTGATCCGCACACTTTCAATCCTTCCAGAAAAAAGAAAACAAATCGCCAAAATTCACTAAACAGAAAATCAAATAAAAAACAAGGAAAATTACGTAATTGTCATTCACCTTCTCAAAAATATCTTACGCTTCTTTTTTAGTATATACTGATTCTCCATAGTATCTTCTCCCTTATTAAGCTCTGAAGTGTTTGCTCCTCTCTTTCCAGATTCCGGTTTCGAAATTTGGTAATTGCTCGCTAATCTTAGTTTTGTGAAATTATATTCGAATGTCACTCTAATTTTAGATTTTATTTTGTGTTAAGTAATTTTTGAATACTGTGGTTGTTTTCAGGGAGATAAGCGATGGCAAACGCGAATGGAAAAGCTGCGACTAGTTTACCGGAGAAAATCTCGGCGAAGGCGAATCCAGAGGCGAATGAAGCTACGGAGATCGCTGGGAATATCATCTACCACGCCAAGTACAGTCCACATTTCTCTCCATTGAAGTTCGGTCCTGAGCAAGCTCTCTACGCTACCGCAGAGAGCCTTCGCGATCGTCTCATTCAGGTAAATCATCAAGTGATTTCTGGACTGTTCCATAAGTATATATATATATATATATATATATATATATATATATATATATATATATATATATATATATATATATATATATATATATATATATATATATCTGTGTATGAGAGTGATGTAAACATGAGGTTAAGGTGGCTTGTGTGAATTGTTTTGCAGCTGTGGAATGAGACTTATGTTCATTTTAACAAAGTGGATCCAAAACAAACTTACTACTTGTCAATGGAGTATCTCCAAGGTCGTGCTTTGACAAATGCCATTGGGAATTTGAATCTTCAAGGTCCATATGCTGATGCACTACGTAAGCTGGGTTATGAGCTTGAGGAGATAGCCGAGCAGGTACTTTTAAGTTACCATTTTCCTCTTTGAAGACTTTGAGGCATTTATTGGAGATGTTTCAGTATTTGTGTCATGAAATTGCAGGAGAAAGATGCAGCTCTGGGAAATGGTGGATTAGGGAGACTTGCCTCGTGCTTCTTGGATTCGATGGCAACTCTAAATTTGCCTGCTTGGGGTTATGGGTTGAGGTACAGACATGGGCTGTTTAAGCAAATAATCACAAAGAAAGGTCAAGAAGAGATTCCAGAGGACTGGCTTGAGGTGACGATTATCAGTGTGGTGATTTCAACAGATGGTTTTGAGACTGTAACTCATCCTCTTTTAATGGGAATTTGCAGAAATTCAGCCCGTGGGAAATTGTGCGGCACGACGTGGTATTCCCTGTCAGATTTTTTGGCAAGGTGCAAATAAATCCGGATGGATCGTAAGTATTCTTACATGACTGTACTTGAAATTTCTGTGCATATACACTAATGAGTTTTGCTATGTTGTTCTCTGTTTTTTTCATCGAGCTTGCTGTTAAGCATCCCAATGGATCAATTGGCTATTTTGCAGACGGAAATGGGTAGGTGGTGATGTTGTACAAGCTCTTGCTTATGACGTGCCAATCCCGGGATATAACACAAAGAACACAATCAGTCTCCGTCTCTGGGAAGCAAAAGCTAGAGCGGAGGATCTTGATCTTTTTCAGTTCAACGAAGGAGAATATGAATTGGCTGCACAGCTACATTCTCGAGCTCAACAGGTTATGACCCGTCATTTTTACCTACTGCTCCATCTTCTTTTGCTTTGTGGCTTTTTGTTTCTCTCTAACAATGAAGTTGTATATATGTGCAGATTTGCACTGTGTTATATCCAGGAGATGCTACCGAGAATGGGAAGTTATTACGGTTAAAACAGCAGTTCTTTCTCTGCAGTGCTTCTCTTCAGGTTTGTCAATTTGGTTGTAGGTTCCTTTCATTTTCTTCATTTCTCTGATGGATGTTATTATGGGCTGTAAACGGTTAATAGCGGGCAAATAAAAATATGATAAAATTTCATGTTGGCATATTAACTGGTAAAAGAATTCCAAAAAACTACCACAAGTGCATTACCTTCAATTCAACTGATTCATGATTTTAATATTTCCTCTTCACAATATTGGAACCCATTGCAGGATATTATATCAAGATTTCATGAGAGGAGTACGGCCGAAGGCAGCCGGAAATGGTCAGACTTTCCAAGCAAAGTTGCTGTTCAAATGAACGACACACACCCAACTCTTGCAATCCCTGAGCTCATGCGATTGCTAATGGATGACAATGGACTTGGCTGGGATGAGGCTTGGGATGTGACATCAAGGTAAAACATTTATGCATGAAACCTTTTAATATTTCCATTTTTCACACTTTTCTGCTGTGACTTATTTATATGGTTTACAGGACCGTTGCTTACACCAATCACACTGTCCTTCCTGAAGCGTTGGAGAAATGGTCACAATCGTTGATGTGGAAGCTTCTTCCTCGCCATATGGAAATAATTGAAGAGATTGACAAGAGGGTATTTTGCTGATCATTCTAAGGATTCGTTACGGTCATCTGTTGCAACTTGCAATAATAGAATATTTACTATTCTGCAGTTTGTGCAAACCATTCGCGATACACGAGTTGATCTTGAGGATAAGATTTCAAGTTTGAGCATCTTAGACAACAATCCACAAAAGCCTGTGGTGAGAATGGCTAACTTATGTGTAGTATCCTCACATACGGTAAGTGGCCCCACTGTCAAAATTATGTTATATTGTTTCTAAATCCTATGCAGTCTTTTTGGTTTCAAGTGCTCAGTATGAGGGCCTTTTCGCAGGTGAATGGAGTTGCTCAGTTACACAGTGATATCTTGAAGGCTGAGTTATTCGCAGACTATGTCTCAATATGGCCAAACAAATTTCAAAACAAGACTAATGGCATCACACCTCGAAGGTGGCTACGTTTCTGCAGCCCTGAGCTCAGTGATATAATCACAAAGTGGTTGAAAACTGACAAATGGATCACCGATCTTGACCTACTTACTGGTCTTCGGCAGGTCTGATTTTTATTTATTTGATACCAGATCTGCAATTGGGTTTTTATCTTGTCTTCTGATGTTATCTTTTCTTCTTATAGTTTGCTGACAATGAAGAACTCCAATCTGAATGGGCTTCTGCAAAGACAGCCAATAAGAAACGTTTGGCTCAATATATAGAGCGTGTGACTGGTGTTAGTATCGATCCAACAAGCTTATTTGACATACAAGTTAAGCGTATCCACGAATACAAGAGGCAGCTGATGAACATTCTTGGGGTAATATACAGATTCAAGAAACTAAAGGTATACTTGGCTAACCCATTTATGTGGATTCCTAGTAGTTTTTCTATGTTTCCCCCTTGTGTTAAAAGTTATCGTAGACCTGTAAAAGAGTTCAGATACTTCAGGGTATTCCCTTTCCTCCGGCTAAATTTTATCTTGAGTTTTCTATATGTTGTTTCCAGCCAAAGCTCATAAAACTACTTTTGCAGTTTTTTATACCTTAACCAGAGGAAAAGGTCCTTAACCCACCGCAATTCTAATATTTGGCGGCAAGGCATATATTATTTTTGTGACATTCTCTTGTGCAACTGAATGTTACAGGAGATGAAGCCTGAGGAAAGGAAGAAAACAGTTCCTCGTACTGTCATGATTGGGGGTAAAGCATTTGCAACATATACAAATGCAAAACGGATAGTGAAGCTGGTGAATGATGTGGGTGACGTTGTTAACAGCGATCCAGAGGTCAACGAATACCTAAAGGTAACACTGCTTGACTCTTCTTAAAACGTTTTACATGTAACTTAGAGGTGGGGAAGCATGATGCTTGCTTGCCATTTTTGATCAGATTTGTCAATATTAGACGCATCTCTCAAGATGAACTCAGTTTCTTTTGGTGAAATCTAATGACTAATGCTACTCAAGCCTCCTTTCTGAACTTGGTTTCTTTTGGTTAAGTCTAATGCTACTCAAGCCTCCTTTCGAGAGTGAGGCTTTCTTATTGTAGTCACACAGATGCATATGCAATAAATCACTTATCCACTTTTATTTTACTGAACATGGCTTGAAGAAGTTTTAACTGGTTTTCACGAATTTGCCTCTTTAGGTGGTATTTGTTCCAAACTACAATGTCACTGTAGCAGAGATGCTTATACCCGGAAGTGAGCTATCTCAACACATCAGCACAGCAGGCATGGAGGCAAGTGGTACCAGCAATATGAAATTCGCTCTCAACGGTTGCCTTATCATAGGAACCCTTGATGGGGCTAATGTTGAGATAAGAGAGGAGGTTGGCGAAGAAAATTTCTTTCTTTTTGGTGCAACAGCTGATCAGGTCCCTCGACTGCGTAAAGAAAGAGAAGACGGACTGGTATGTCACTCTCTCCTTTTCTCCCTTACATAATTTTTGTCTTTGTGGAACAAATGCGAGGCACCATACCATGAAGAGCCTTATAATGAAATCTCCATATGCTTCTGTACTTTCTCTGAGACTGACATGAAATGTTTATGTGGCTGTCAAAACTTATCAGTTCAAACCCGATCCTCGGTTCGAAGAGGCAAAGCAGTTTGTCAAAAGTGGAGTGTTTGGGAGCTACGATTATGGTCCGCTCCTTGATTCTCTTGAGGGTAACACAGGTTTTGGACGTGGTGATTACTTCCTGGTTGGGTATGACTTCCCCAGCTACATGGATGCTCAGGCCAAAGTTGATGAAGCTTATAAGTAAGTCCATCTCTTAAACCAACTTGACCTTTCAGAAGCTTTTTTAAGTTTATACAGAAACTGAATTCATATGAATATTCAAGTTCTTCAATGTGAAATGTTGTCATAATGTGTTGTGACAGGGACCGGAAGGGGTGGCTGAAAATGTCGATATTGAGCACAGCCGGGTCAGGAAAGTTCAGCAGTGACCGTACAATAGCTCAATATGCCAAAGAGATTTGGAACATTGAGGCTTGTCCTGTTCCCTAAGTCCTTGTATCGTTCGCACAGACGATACCTTCCTTACCAAGGCATCTCCATATCCACACAGTTCCAAAGTCGATATTACTTATATCAGATCTCATAAGAATATAACCAAAATAAATGATAAACCTTTTCGTATGTATATGTTCACGATGTTTGCAATATTTTAATTTTACTCAAGGAAAACGTTCTGTAAAATGCTATATGAATGAATGAATTTGGTTTAATGATTGATTTTTGTCCCACTCTGAAGAAGCAGAGCTTGAGTAGCCTAGTTGTTGCTTGATCTTCATGAAGAGACTTGATGGAGATGTTATCAGAAACTAAAACTATTACAGAACAGACAATCCAAAAAGTGAACTCATTATATGTTTTAGAATACTTATCCAACAAACCTTGCTTAACATGTAACGGCCATTACAGAGCCCAAAAATTCATGACTGTTTTTTTTTTGGACAGTTTTTGTAGAGTGAAACTATTTTTTTAAGGAGGTTTTAAACACATCCCAAAACTTTTGCTTTTGCTTTCTGTGAAGTATGTCTGCTGATTGAGAATCTTTTGCGTTTTGACGATTCACCAAACTCAAAAATATCATGGAAATTTTTGATATTCTATAATACTTTAATTCTGTTGATCTCGAAAATATAACTATTTGTTAGAAAGTGGGCCAAAATAAGAGCCCATAAGAAGATATATAAAGACAGCACACATTACTAATTTGTAGCTATCAAACGGCACGGCGTTCCATAGTCGCAGAACTCAACCGGAGTTCACCGGACCCTCCCAGACGGATCGCTGAGAGAGTAAGAATACTTGGGAATGCGAAGAAGATAACGATATAGAGAAAGCACTATGAACAGAGTCCAAGCAGGCAATGAGCTCGGCTTCCGGGTCGGATTCTCCGGTCATGGTGGTCACCTCCGCGTCGAGCCTCTTTACACGGCCGAGAGAGACGACGCCGTGAACTCACTTCCCGATTTCGTATCCGTAAGTTTTCTGATTAAGCGGCACGAACACTTGATCACGTCTTCAAAATTGGGTTCGCTTAGGCATTGAATTGTGATGCAATTTGATTTTGTATTGCTAGTAGCTGTGCGTTTCTGTATTGTAGTTACTAGGTCTTAGTGTGATTTTGCTCAGTGTTTCCCTCAACAATCCTAATGGAACTAGAAATTTATTGGATTATCAGTTTGCTTGATTAGGGAAGAGTTACTTAGAGTTGTATCATGTATTATGTGGTGAAGAAAGGAAACAACAGTAGCTATTTTTCTGAAAATCTCATGTGGTGAGAGGTGTAAATCATTAGAAATTCTTGTTTAATGGTAGTTATCAGTGACATGAGAAACTCCAGATTATGTATCCAATGGTGGATGCTCTTACATGTTCAGATTTGCACGCTGATGTCGTGTTTCTTCTTTTCTTCCTATCCAAGTATTTACCAATTCTTGGTCATTAGTAAAGCTTTATGGCTTCGGACATGCTTATTTACGTTTGCGTATATGCTTGTTTCTCAGCCTCCTGCATTTGCCAAGGAAACAAAAGAATCAATAAAGAAACATATTGAGGAGAAATATCTCCTACCAAGACTGGAACCGGATCAATTTTCTGCTGAAAAAGCTGAGAATCAGTGGGATTTTGATTGGTTTTCCAGGGTGAAGGTGCCCCTTCAACCCTCTTTGCCAAGGTCCGTTGTGGTTCCGACTTGGGAGTTGCCATTCAGGCGTCAAAAAGTGGATACTGAGAATGGAGCGTGGGAGCCAAAATCAGTGGAGGTAACTCATTTCTATCTCTTCAAAACGTGAATTATATTAAATAAACTAGTTCATTTAGACAGTGATATTCTCCGAGAGTCTGGAACATTTTCGTAGAAGAATGACCAGCTATTAGCTTTCTGTTTCTGACTCTAGTTGGAGAAATGGATTGTCATATTATCTTAGGTGGATTTGTCAGAACAAATGTATGGAGATCAAGATTCTGGATTTTTTCCACGAATGGTAGGACCTCCGAAGGATTTTCTGAGAGGAAGTGTCAACAATCGCCCTTTCCGTCCAGGTGGCTTGGAGGATTCGCAGTCTTCAGAGAGAGTCCTTCCAGAGGGTGTCTCTAGTGGCCAATGGGTACAGGAATTGCTAAATGGGGGTCCTGCTCAAACTGTTCCTCCTAGTTTTAAGCAGAGTTTAGATCTTGGAGATCTGATGGTATGTTATCCTATGATATCACTATCTAATTTTGTAATTTATGATTCAGTGTTAATTGATTCTTCCTTTTTTTCTTTTATACTTTAAAGCCATATCCCCAAACATGGAGTGTTTATGAGGATCAGAGTTCACATGGCAATGCTTCTGATGAAAATTCGGTCTGTAGATCAATGTCACTGGTGTACATAAAATTATTTTACATTTAGATGTGGTAATAAACTCCTTTTTACTGTCCTCGCATTATAAATACCTCCAGAGCAAGTTGTCTATTCAGTTTGACGATCTGTTTAAGAAGGCATGGGAAGAAGATACTTTCTCCGAACTTGAGAGAGATGGTGTGTTTAATCATTCATGTTCAATTTCTATAATCGTCACATACATTTGATTTTTATATTTTTCGGATAATCAAAACTGTCATGAAGATCATACAGCTGGATCTGAGTCTCCAAAGGCAGAAGCTGAACCCGAAGCTAAAGCGAGCATAAGCAATGAAGTCAGCAAGGGACTAGAGACTGACATCACTGTGCTGGATGAGATTTTGTCATCAGCAAAAACAGCAATATTGACGGACGAGGCAGTTACTGGGAACAGCGATAAACAACTACTGAAAGAGGTAAGAATCTGGATTTTGCATTTTGAGATTTCATTTTCCCACTTATAAACGTGATTTGGGGTGTGTTCTTTTTTTAGGGATGGGCCACGAAAGGAGATAGCCAAGACATTGCAGACCGGTTTTATGAGCTTGTTCCTGACATGGCGATTGAATTCCCTTTCGAATTGGACAACTTTCAGAAGGAGGTATTTCCCTAGACTTTAAATTTATGGATGTTTGAGGAACGTGCCTGGTTTATCTTTTACTTGTGAGTTTTCAGTAAATAACTAAGTGTCTTATGCCTACAGGCTATCTGTTGTTTAGAAAAGGGGGAGTCTGTTTTTGTAGCAGCACATACATCAGCGGGGAAGACAGTTGTTGCAGAATATGCATTCGCTTTGGCCACCAAGGTAGAGAATTCTTTAGAACATCGATCACATTCGTATTTTAGATTTCTTTGTTCTGTTCGCTGATCAATTTCCCCCCTTTGTTCAGCACTGTACACGAGCTGTTTATACTGCTCCAATTAAAACCATCAGCAACCAAAAATACAGAGATTTTTGTGGGAAGTTTGATGTAGGACTTCTCACAGGTGATGTTAGCATAAGGCCAGAGGCATCTTGTCTGATCATGACTACTGAAATATTAAGGTCAATGCTTTATCGTGGTGCTGATATCATACGTGATATAGAATGGGTAAAAGAGCTTTCTGATGTTTGACTTTCTTTTGAGTTTGATATTGTACTCAAATCGCTCCATTTCTAAGAAGCCTTTGTAGTTCTGTGTGAAACTCCAATCACGTGACCTTGTTGCCGTTCCTCTTACTGGCAGGTTATATTTGATGAAGTTCACTATGTCAATGACGTAGAGAGAGGGGTTGTTTGGGAAGAAGTCATCATCATGTTGCCAAGGCATATAAATTTTGTCCTCCTTTCTGCAACGGTACTTCTTAATGCAACAATGTGCATGCGTTTAGAAATTTCTAGTTCTTTTGTTTTTCATGCAACTAATCTTTGCCTATGAATTTTCTCGTGAGATGAGTTTGAAAGGAGTAGGTGAATTTTGTTGTTTTTTTTTTGCGTTGGGTCTCTGTTGGTCACGTTCCTTATGAACTAACCCTTCAGTTTCTCGCATATATGGAGATACATATGGCTTCATGGTTATTTTCCCATCCTTTTTTCCCCCATGTGCCTCTGAACTTATAACATGTATAATTTCTTGTAGGTGCCAAACACATTTGAATTTGCTGATTGGATTGGCCGAACAAAACAAAAAGAGATACGTGTTACTGGGTGAGATATAATGTATCCTGGTTAACTAATTGTTAATTTAATGATTGATATTGAAGTTATTAATTTCATATTTGTATGGGTTTTGTTATCAGCACGACAAAAAGACCAGTTCCCCTAGAGCATTGTCTATTTTATTCTGGAGAACTCTACAAAGTTTGTGAGAATGAAGTTTTTATTCCTAAAGGGATAAAGGATGCTAAAGATTCACAAAAGAAGAAGACTTCAAATGCAGTTAGTGTCGCTCCTAAACAGTATACGGGATCTTCAGCTCATCAAGATGGGAACAAATCTCAGAAACATGAAGCTCATTCTCGTGGCAAGCAGAATAAACACTCAAGTGCAAAAGATGTGGGAAAATCCTCTTACAGTGGTAACAGTCAGAACAATGGGGCATTTAGACGATCAGCAGCTTCAAATTGGTTACTGCTTATCAACAAGCTCTCAAAAAAGTCCCTATTGCCAGTATGTTAGATGTCGCTTTTGTTTCTTATATTCAATCTTAGTGTTGTCCATTCTGGTCGTTATGTCTAACTTTTTAATTTTTCCTTTCCCATTAGGTGGTTGTCTTCTGTTTCTCGAAGAATTATTGTGATAGGTGTGCCGACGCCTTGACTGGGACCGATCTCACCAGTAGCTCTGAGAAAAGTGAAATCCGTCTCTTTTGCGATAAAGCATTTTCAAGATTGAAAGGGTCTGATCGGAATTTACCTCAGGTTGGTTATCTTAAGACTTTCCTGTCTTCTCACATTAAATTTATAGAGGTACCTTGGTTTCCTACACATTAACTGTGGGGGGACACATTTTATAGGTTCTCAGAGTCCAAAGCTTACTTCATAGAGGAATTGGTGTTCATCATGCTGGGCTGCTTCCAATTGTAAAGGAAGTTGTTGAAATGCTTTTTTGCCGTGGTGTTATTAAGGTAGGCTTAAAGACTCTGGGACTTGTGTTATTATTTGAGCCTACCCCATTAATACAACGCTGGAGTTAATAGTTATCTATGCTTATGGTTACTGCTATTAGGACATCTAATTGCCATGTTTTCGTTATCTTCCGAAACGCTTCAGGTAATCTTTTTTTATTAATCTTCCTGCAGGTGCTATTTTCAACGGAGACATTTGCCATGGGGGTCAATGCTCCAGCTAGAACGGTGAGGCTATTTCGATTTTTATTACTAATGTTAATCTGATGCTACAATGTTAAGTGGGTTATTCTTTACACATAGGTATCTTCGTATCATGTGGGGGAACAAGTGTGGGTATTCTGATAAGCATATTATTCATATAAATAACTTCTCCACGATATTTCGCTACAGGTCGTTTTTGATGCTTTGAGGAAGTTTGATGGCAAGGAATTTAGACAATTGCTTCCTGGAGAGTACACTCAAATGGCAGGACGTGCTGGCAGAAGAGGACTGGACAAAACGGGCACAGTTGTTGTCATGTGTCGCGATGAAGTTCCAGATGAGAGTGATCTGAGGCGTGTAATTGTTGGAAGCGCAACAAGACTAGAATCTCAGTTTCGACTAACCTACATAATGATCCTCCATCTTTTACGTGTTGAAGAATTGAAGGTATCTCAATGTCTGGACCATTGATCTGCCATGGGTATTGCTACCAAGCCTTTTTCTTGACTTTTTCTGACTCGCCAGTTTTCAAATGGTTGTTATTGTTAGGTGGAGGACATGCTTAAAAGAAGTTTTGCTGAATTCCATGCCCAGAAGAAACTGCCCGAGAAACAACAGCTTCTCATGAGAAAACGTTCTCTACCAATCAAAAATATCGAGTAAGGCCAAACCCTCATCTTACTGATACTTGAAAGACTGAAAACCTACTGAATTTTTACTCTGATGGATCGCCAAGCTTTTTGTAGTCTCCGTAGAATTGTAATGAACTCATTTATTCTATTATCTTGTTTGTGTCACCTCTGTATTCAACTTCTATGTAGAGCTGATCTATTGATTTATTCATCCAGATGTATTAAAGGTGAACCGGCAATTGAAGATTACTATGACATGTATATGGAAGCAAATGAATATAACAACAAGATGTCGGAAGCAGTAATGCAGTCTCCTTATGCCCAGAATTTTCTTGTACCAGGAAGAGTAGTGGTCATGAAATCTGGAACGGTGAGACCCTGTCTCCACCACTCTTTTATCTGGTTCATAAATTGGTTTCTCATGTGTGTAATTTTACAGGGCATAGACAATTTACTCGGAGTCGTTCTGAAGGGACCTTCCAACACTAACAGACAATATGTTGTTTTGGTGACAAAATCTGAAATACCGCCACCAGAGAAAAATATGGTCAGCATTGGCAAGAAAAGCTCAGAGCCTTCTCAAGGTTATTTTATTGCGCCCAAATCAAAACGTGGTTTTGAAGAAGAATTTTATACAAAGCCGAGCTCTCGTAAAGGTTCCGTTGTGATAAAGATAGAGCTCCCGTACCATGGAGTCGCTGCTGGTGTAGGTTACGAGGCTAAAGGGTTTGATAACAAAGAATTTTTGTGCATATGCGATAGCAAGATAAAGATTGATCAGGTGCGCCTACTCGAGGATGGGAACAAGTCAGCTTTTTCTCAGACGGTTCAACAGCTTTTGGATCTGAAATCAGACGGAAACAAGTATCCTCCTCCTCTAGACCCAATAAAAGGTTCTTAAACTAGATTATAACCATGTATCAGTTTTTCCTGCTTTAAATTCATTTCCCTCTTAAATTCATTTCATGATTCTATTTCAGATTTGAAGCTGAAAGATGCTGAGAGTGTGGAGACGTACTATAAATGGACCAGCCTATTGCAAAAGATGTCCATGAATAAGTGCCACGGTTGTGTCAAATTGGAAGAGCACATGAAGTTAGCTAGGGAGATTAAGAAGCATAAGACGGATCTCAAAGATCTTGAATTTCAAATGTCCGATGAAGCCCTATTACAGATGCCTGCGTTTCAGGGCCGGGTACGTTCAAATGAGAAATTCCACTTGCATTTTACTCTTATATATGATGATTTAGAGTAACATGTAGAGCTCTAATCTCTTTTTGCAGATCGATGTTCTGAAGAACATTGGGTGTATAGATGATGACCTCGTCGTCCAAATCAAAGGCCGTGTCGCTTGCGAGATGAATTCTGGGGAAGAGTTGATTTGCACTGTATGTCTGTTCGAGAATCAATTCGAAGAATTAGAACCAGAAGAAGCAGTGGCTATAATGTCTGCCTTTGTCTTCCAACAGAAAAACACTTCAGCGCCTTCCCTTACTTCTAAGCTGGCTAAGGCTAAACAAAGGTTTGTTTCGATCACTCTCTTTCCCTTCTCATATTTACTAACAGTAATTGATCTGACCTGATCGATCTAATCATTGATCCTCTTTTGCATAGACTCTATGATACAGCAATCAGACTTGGTGAACTTCAAGCTCAGTACAATTTACAAATAGACCCTGAAGAATATGCCCAGGAGAATCTCAAATTCGGTCTGGTCGAAGTCGTCTATGAGTGGGCAAAGGTTTGTTGTAACCAGAGAGCTATCTTTCTTCAACATTGCGCAATTCACACATTTTTTTGATCATATATTCTTGATTTTATCAGGGGACTCCATTTGCAGAGATATGTGAACTGACGGATGTCCCAGAAGGTCTGATAGTTCGAACCATTGTGAGATTGGATGAGACGTGCCGTGAGTTCAAGAACGCAGCCGCCATTATGGGGAACTCAGCGTTACACAAGAAAATGGATGCGGCTTCAAATGCTATAAAACGTGACATCGTCTTTGCGGCTAGTCTGTATGTGACTGGAGTATAAGATTTGATTATAAATCTGACCAGATACGCTTCTCACTTAACTTGAAATTCAAATCACTAAACATGTCTGCAACGATGTTGATCGTTAAATGTCTTAAACTCCTGCAGAATCTGTAAGGCAGTTCCTTGACCCATAGAATATAGTCGTTAAATTTTTCGTTAAAGCTTCTGTTACGACTATTGCATTCTTAGTATGGTAGATAATAACATTTCCAAAATCAGATATTAAAAACCGGCCAGATACAAGTCGAACTGAGATTACAGAAATGGATTTCAGTTTAGACATTGACATACACTAGAAAATAAAAACTCCTCTTCCTCAGCTTTCCATTCAAGCGTTAAAGATTCACTATGAAACTCGAGCTGTGGTGAAGATAGCCATCAACTTAGGCACTAGCTTGTCGTGCTTCATCACGTACCTTTTCAAGAACTCCTGATCAGTACATACCAAGACAGATGAAATCGGAGGGTTTTCACTACCAATCAATCCTTTCGACATGAGAGCTTTGATTACGTTAGTCCTTGGCACTATCCTCTTCTCCAAGCTGTATCCAAGTACCGCAGGGATCAAAACTACATCTTCTAGTGGCCAATTCATTTTCTTCACCAAAACCTCAAACTTCTTCCTCACCGTCTCTGCAGTATATGCAGTGCACTGAGGATATCGCTTAACCATCATCTTGAACTCATCTCTACTGAAACCTAAGTCTAGAAACGTTTCAATAGAGTCCTATATCTTCTGCTCAGAAGCTCGTATGCATTGTGGACGAGTCTTCAACACCGAAATGACCTCTTCCTCCACCAAACCACACTTCTTCAGTGTTTCATACATCAGAATTATCTTCTTCTCCGAGAATTTCAAAAAGAAAGGCCACTTCTTGAAAATTGCCCATATATCCACTTCACTAAAGCCTAACCTTTTATAAACATTCACTTTCTCTTCTATCGTTTTCTCGCTCATTTTGTAAACTACATGCAAAGCTTCCACAAACGTTGATTTGGTCGGATCAAAACCCATATCAACAACTTTCTTGAGAGTTTCTTCAAATTTTTCTTTACCACAAACAGGTTGATAATTAGAGATGACCAATGGAAACAACAACTTCTGAGGCACTCCCAATTCTCTTAAAACCGAGATATTTCGGATTTTGTTCCCTTTCTTACCCTCTGGCCAAGAATGACCTAAACTTTTACCATCTTCCATAATGTCCTTAACGAAATCATAGTACAAGCTAATAGATTTCTCCCCTTTCTTTCCCAAGATTGTAGGAACATTCGAAACAATTTCTGTGACCTCAGAGCTTGAAGCTCCTCTAGACTTTAAAAACTGAAGCTTTGGACGAAGAGACTTCTCAGCATCAATTACAAGCAATCTTGGGTAAGCCCTAATGATCCTAGAGATCTGAGAATCTTTAAACCCATTACTTCTAAAAAGATTCAGAACAGAATCCGGATTTACCTTGTCTTCGAAACTTACTTTCTTTGAGATTGATTCTGCAAGTTTTTTAGTTAAACCCAATGATTCAACTAGATAAGTGACAGTGAAAGTTGTTCCCTTTGGACTCACATCTTTAGCTATTGCAGAAGAGAACGATTTGGTGGTAAAAGCAAATGCATTTTGCAAAATACTCAATGAAACTCTTAAATTACGCCATTTCTGCAATTCCACAGACCTTCTTCCATGGATTATTAAAGAAAACATGAGAAGAAGCAGAGAGCTCAAAGAACCAGTGATGATGAGAGTGTTCGATTATTCAAGAAAAATGAAACTAGGGTTTATGAGGAAGAAGAATTAACAATTGGGTCTAATGGGCCAAGAAATAGTTAAAAGCCCATTGACTTTATCAGGGTGGAGGGAAATTTTGGCGCCACTCACTCTCCCATTTATGGCGGAACTACGACGCTTCTTCATCATCACAACAACAACAAGTCGACCACAGTTGAAATTAGGGTTTCTCTGCAGCTCCTTAAACACACGCTTAAAGCCTCTTCGCTTCCCAATTTCAACAATGGCCTGTGTCGAGAAGAAGAACAACAACAACATTTCCGATGCCGTCAACGAACCATCACCTAAACTCCAAAAGCTCGATCAAAACGGAATCCATGGCGATTCATCATCATCACCATTCTTCAAAGTGAAGAAACTCTCCGAGAAAGCTGTTTTACCAACAAGAGGCTCATCACTCTCCGCTGGATACGATCTCTCAAGTGCAGTGGATTCAAAAGTTCCAGCGAGAGGTAAAGCTCTTATCCCAACGGATCTAAGTATCGCTGTTCCCGAAGGAACTTACGCGAGAATTGCGCCGAGATCGGGTTTGGCTTGGAAACATTCGATTGATGTTGGTGCAGGAGTGATTGATGCTGATTATAGAGGACCTGTTGGTGTGATTTTGTTTAATCATTCTGATGTTGATTTTGAGGTGAAATTCGGAGATCGAATCGCGCAATTGATTATCGAGAAGATTGTGACTCCTGTTGTTGTTGAGGTTGAAGATTTGGATGATACTGTTCGTGGTGATGGTGGTTTTGGTTCTACTGGTGTCTAAGTGATAATCATCTTCTTCGTTTAAGAATATGTTTTAGTTTTAATTTAGGGTTATTTCGTCGAACACTTTGTGGGCATTATTGTACTATCTCTTTGCTTCAATCTTAAAATATTTTGCTTTATCTAAAAAAAAAGAGTCTCAATCTAAATTAATTTCACCAAACAAAATTGATAATCCATGAAACAAACAAACTCTCACTGTTTTTTTTTTTTTTTCCCTACAAAATGAATCAATTTCAAGAAAAGAAAAAGAAACAAGAGATGACTTCACAAAAACCAAGCCAAAACGAAGAGGAGCTCTCTATAATGGAGAGAGCGATAAATCAAAAGCAAATAGAGACAGTTGATTATAACAAAAACATAACCACTGACTCTTTTTTTTTTTTTTTCTATTCACAAAAATGAGACTCTAGACGTCTCAAGCGAATTTAGGCTTAGGTAAGGCTGAGCCTATGGTGTTGCTGCTGCTGCCGCCACCGCTGTGGTGGTGGTGGTGGTTGTGGTGGTGGAATGAGCCGATTTTCTGAATCCATAATTTATGACCTTTCTTTAGTTCTGGACAGATCTGGCTAGGTAAAAGATTCAGTCTTCCTTCGTTTGTCAGAGACTTCTTAAAATGTTCCAACACTTTGACAATCTGCCAGAATTCTGGTCTCTTGTCTGTTTGCGATGACCAACATAGCTCCATCAGCTCTTTCATGGCCGCTGCACAATCCTTCGGTATAACGGGTCTAATGTTCTGGCCAATATCAAAACAAAACAATTCGAAATGGTTAAAAACAACTGAACAGTAATGTTCTAACTCAAGTCATCATATTTTTCTTTTGTTCTATAATCAAATCCTAAGTTAGGCATGATTCGTGTAAGCTTGGGGTCAGATCTATGCAAGATCACAATCATGAAATAAAGAGGAGATGCAGAATGAATTTACCTTGTTTATGACTGCGTAGGCAACTTGGGCAGCCAATTTCATCTCCTCATATGGAACTGCTCCAGCTACCATTTCCCATAAAAGAAGTCCAAAACTATAAACATCGCACTTCCGTCCATGTGGTATCCGTTTTAAAACTTCAGGTGCCATCCACCTATAGGTTCCTGCGTTATCCCCCAAAACATCACAGTACTCCTCCTCGCACGCTATGCCAAAGTCAGCAATCTTCAAGTGAAAGTCTTTGTCGATCAAAACATTTTCTGGCTTAACATCCCGATGAACTATCTCTCTTGAGTGAATATATTCCATTCCTCTGGCAATATCCAGCCCAAACTCGATTAGCTGTTGCATAGGAAGGGATTTCTGCTCGAGCTTGTGCAGATATGATCTTAAAGACCCTCGAGGTACATACTCCGTGATGATACAGTTTCCAGTATTCACTCCAACAAACTGTTTCAGTAAATCATCAATCAGAGGAAAAAAGTCAAACAAACCATACTCATAATTTTCAAAGAGAGTTGTAAGATGTATTGTTCAGTTTCCACCAATGAAAATAACCACACCAAAGGCATCATTCATATTCAATACAACCTAACCGACATAATATAACATAATAGAAATCACCTTAACGACATTTGGATGGCTTAGTCGAGATAAAAGAGTGGCTTCCTTGATAAACTCTTTTTCTAAACAAGCTTCCAAGAGTCTGTCGTCACTATCCTCAGGCGCTGTGATAATCTTCAGAGCAACAGCTTTGCCTTTGTATTCTCCATGATAAATCTGGCTATATTTCCCGTGCGCAAACCTATCCCCATAAGACAACTTAGACACATCAATGAGGTATTCTTCAAGCACTCCTGCAGAACATACTTTAGATCCTCTATAGTCAACAGACTTTGAAGACCTCTTATCCATCTTGCTCTTTTCCCTCTCTTGAGTTTTCACCATACTATGATCCCTAATAGGACCCGAGTGTGATAGGGACCGTAGAATAAACGATTTTTTCTCAGGAGAACCTTTGCGGGGCAACTTTGCCTTCATTCCCTTCTCTGGTTCCATTCTTCTAGGATGTGGAGTAGAAAACCTCTTAATATCAGATTTTGCTTCCTTAAAAGCATCAGAAAGAGCCATATGAGGCGACGGAGAGACAGACCTCTCCTTATTACTGACTGGATTTCTCTGTATCTCAGTACCAACAATACTACAACAACTCAAACCCACCGGCTGCTGCGTACTCTGAGAAATTCCTACAAGTGATTTCAGATCAGATGGTGAACTCAAAGTCATTCTTTTCAATCCAGAAGTCCTATCTGAGTTTGATTCTAAGCTCGGTGTAATCATACGATAACAAACAGTATGAGAGAAATTTGCCCTCCTAATCCAAGAAGTAACCTCTCCATCCATGTTACTAGAAAGCTCAAAACACTAAAACTTGGTAAAGAAGAAACTCTTATCAAGCAAAACCATGAAGACGAATAAGATGAGTATCAATCTCCAACAACAATCTCGTCTTCACAGATCCATTGAAGAAACACCATCTATCTTCTTCCTCAACCATTAAATCAAAAACTCTACAATCAAAATTTTAAATCTCTTTACGGATACAAATATTTCCCTTGCCTAGAGTGTTGAACACATCACCAAAAAATCGTCGGAAATTTTCTGAATTACACCACCAAACTATATGTTCCTAATAAAAATAAATCGAAACAAAGAACAACATGTATATTAAGAAACGAATTCGTTTGATTGATGAATCAGAGAAAAAGATATAGAAATCGAGAACGTACCTGAAACACGAATGTTTTTTCAAAAACAAAACTATGACGCGTGAAAGCTCGGAAAAACAGGAATCAGAATAATCCGGCGAATAGGTTTTGTGTAGAGAGAAATCAAACGGAGAAATTGATAGCTTCAATGGTAAGCAACAAGACGAGAGATTTCGAATTCGTGACTTTTTGATCTTGACGACGGCTTTAGAGAGAATTTTGTATTAAAAAAAGTTTCCAGAAATAAAAGGGAAGACAAATTCTCCAGAATTTTGGTCAAACAAGAAAAACACGGACGATGCGTAAAAACTAAAAACGACTCCAAACGGGGCCGTTTTAAACTTCTGTATACATCATAGATATATATATATATATTTATAAAATTATATATCGATACTAAAAAAAAAAGCATATCTAGTCCAGCGGTAAGATAGTTGCATTGCATTACAAGAGACTAATCTTGGTACAATACCCGGCCGTCGCATTCCATTCAAAAGACCTGAAATTTATTTTTTTGCCTACACGGATTGAATATGCCAGTTTTTGATTTATAGAGATCAACAAGAAAAGAATAGCACAATTGCACAAACTAATTAAAATTTCCAAACTATTGCTTTTTTTTGTGTGTTGAAACTTGAAAGTGACAACTGTTTCATTCTTTTGCTAGGAATGCAAAAAATAAGAAATAACCAAAAAATAAAAGAAAAACATGACGCAACCTTTTTTTTCTTCTGCATGAGGCCAGACCACGTGCCTCTTCCCATCTCTCACGTGTTTCCCTTCTAAAAAGAAAACTAATTTCTACTGACAAAATCCAAGTCGATGTTTGAGGTTGAGACTCCTAATAAACGTCGTCGTTTTATCAGTTCCAACGACTCGCTTTGCCTCCTCTTCTTCTCCTATCTCTCTCTCGGTCGACGAAATAGGATTCTTCGTTTCTACCTCGAATACGACGACCACGAGATTGACCAGGTGAGAAACCAACTCTATCGTCGTCACTGCTCCAAATTCGTTTTTACAAAACAATGGCACATGAACCCAGTAGCCCAAGTTCGAATCTTGTTCATAATCCGGCGAATCTTTCAGATTATGGGTTAAATTATGGCTCTGATTTGAGCAATAAGCGTGTCTCTGATGGAATCATTACTGGGTTTGGGAGTGAGCAGGTAAGTATTGATGCTATGAATACGAACAATCCAAATTTATCAAGTAGTGATATGGATGGTGAAGAAGGGGAAAAGGTGAAGTTTTTATGTAGCTACAATGGAAAGATAATGCCTAGACCAAGTGATGGCATGTTACGATACGTTGGTGGTCAAACAAGGATCATTAGTGTTAAAAGGAATGTGAGTTTTGATGAGTTTGAGCAAAAGATGATTCAGGTTTATGGTCAGCCTGTTGTTGTTATTAAGTATCAGCTTCCTGATGAGGATCTTGATGCTTTGGTTTCTGTTTCATCTAGTGAAGATATTGATAATATGATGGATGAGTTTGACAAGTTGGTTGAGAGATCTTCTGATGGGTCAGGGAAGTTAAGAGTTTTTTTGTTTGATGCTGCTTCGTCCGAGGTTGATGATTCTTTCGGAATATCGCGGTATGGAGTTGATATTGGGCAGAGATATGTAGAGGCGGTGAATGGTGTTGTTGGGAGTAAGGAAAGTGTGGCTAGTGGTAGTAGTTCTAATCCGAATTCTGATTTTAGTGGCGTGGATGTTGTTGATAGTTTGGCTGTAGGTCAGAGTGATTTTGTTGCAACTACATGGACCTCGAGTAATTTTTCACCTCACACTTATCATAGTAATGCACCAAGACTTGTTCCTCCTGAGCCACGCTCTTCTGCTTATGTTTTGCCAATGACTGTTCAAGCCGATCCGTTTCATTCTTCTCAGCTTGAGTCTGTTTCAGGGAAACAAATACTTGGTAAGATCCAGCAGCATCAACAGGTGCATGACTTGCAGCAATCAATGACTACGCCATCTGAGCATCATTCACCAACCTATGTTGAATCTCGCCAAGAAGCTTTAAAACAACCAGATGTTGTTCATTCACCTATCCAGCTTTTGCCAAGCAGTACTTCTTTGTTCTCCCAACAACCTTTTCAAGGTAGTACTGTAGGTGTCTCATCCCACCAGTTCCTTCCTGCTTCTCACATGTCAATGGCTCCTTTGAACGCTCAGGTTGGTGCTACACCAGTTTTGATTAACCCTATACTACAAACCCAAGAAAATCTGTTGGGGAACTATCCTGCTGAAAGAAATGTCGGGATTCAAAAGGTAGCCCCACTTCCTACAGAGCCGAGATACACTGCATATCAAGGTATGATTGCTCCTGGTCTACCAATTGGTGGTGGTGGCGGGTCTCAGGTTCCACCATCTAACTATGTTGTTCTCCCCGATGGTGGTTTGCATCAACAAGTAATTATGCCTGAAAGTTTTCAAAGGGTAGATGATTGTCATATGTGTCAGACATCTTTTCCTCATATGCATTCTGATCCCATTATACGGGAGAGGAATGATGGCTCTACAATGTCGGTACCATATGTGAGATCAGCTTTCCATGCTTCTCATCCAGATGATATCATGAGAGTCCAACAGACGGATAAGTTTACGGGTCAACAAAGCTTCCTCAATCATTCAAATCATCAAGAAAGAGATACTTTACATAACGCCAATGTTGTGACTGCTCAGCTCGAGACTACTGAACCTTTCCTCAATGAGATCGTGAGAGATGTTCCGATAAAAGTTCAAGTATCTAGACAGCAGCAACATCCCGTAGACCCTTCAGTAGCATATGCTCAATACCGAGAACTAAGTGGATTGGTGGATGATGTTAACATACATGCTCCCGGAATATATAGCAATTGTCAGAATTTCATCTCACCAGTTGACAAAATTGGAACAGAAGATATTATGGGTACAAGTTCTCACCAAATGGCAAGGAAGAATATGTTGTCACAAGGCAAAGTCGTCCCATCTCCACTAAGTCAAACATAGATCACACTGACTCAACGGAGACACTAACAAGAGTAGTTCTTCCAGGCCATGAATCTCAGCCTAAGGCATCATTGCAGCCAACACAGTCGCCCTTATTAGGAAATCCTGGTTTGTATCTACAATCATTGGTTGGAGGTCAGCAGTGCGATTCAGTGGAAGCGCAGTCCAGCAACCCCGCTTATGACGTTGTTGACTCTACCTTTGATGCTGCTAACTTACCCTCATCTTTATCATCAAATCCTGATGCTGCTAATTTACCATCATCCTTGTCATCTAGTGTTGGTGGTGCAGACCATAAAGATTCATCAAAATCACTTTTTAACAACCAGGACCCGTGGAATTTGCAAACTAACTCAAAGGAGGATGTCAAACCTGATCTACTTAGTTCTTCGAAAGGTGAGAATGACTTTCATGTTATACATGAATTTCTTAGATCGTTATCCTTGAGGATTATCTGTTGATTGGTCTTTTGTTCTCTCTGAAAGGCTCAGCGGAGGAGCACATCAAACAAGAACTTCGGAATGTTGCTGAAGGAGTCGCTGCTTCTGTTTTACAGTCAAGCACATCTTCATATCTTGAACCTACAATCAGCGTGGATGAGTATCCTTCTAATTCGAAAGGAGAAGTTTCACGTAATGATGAAATGAAACAGCAGTCTACTACACAGTTCAAGGTCCTTTGCATGATCTTCATTATTTTTTTCATGATCTTCAGTTATGAAATTTTTATTATTGTTTCTCAGAATATCAGGAACCAACTTCTAGAAAGACTGAATTTCGGATATTCTGGTTCTGATTCTCTGGATCAGTTGCAGGTTTGACACCTTGTATTTAATTCACTTTTGATCATTAACTAATGAGTATAATCATATATTATATTTTGACAGATTATAAAGGACAGCGACCTTGAACAATTGCGAGAACTAGGATCTGGCACATTTGGCACAGTTTATCATGGGAAATGGCGAGGCACTGATGTTGCAATCAAAAGGATCAATGATCGATGTTTTGCTGGCAAACCATCTGAGCAAGAACGAATGGTTTGTCTCAGCAAAGCTGATGATGCATAACCTAAAAAATTATTTAGACATGTTGAATAGTTCATAATGACGTATATCTTATCCGCAAATTATCAGATTGATGACTTTTGGAATGAGGCACAAAACCTAGCTGGCTTGCATCATCCTAACGTCGTTGCTTTTTATGGGGTTGTGCTGGATTCACCTGGAGGTTCTGTGGCAACGGTTACAGAGTATATGGTCAATGGTTCTTTACGAAATGCGTTGCAGAAGAATGTGAGGTATCAAATTTTGTATACATTCCTCAGAGCTATGTTGACACTTAATATTCATGCTTAGAAGAATGCCATTAATTGTTATGGTTTTCTTTTCAGGAAATTTGATAGGCGCAAGCGTCTGTTGATCGCGATGGACATAGCTTTTGGGATGGAGTATTTGCATGGAAAGAAGATAGTACACTTTGATCTTAAAAGTGACAACCTACTCGTTAATCTCAGAGATCCTCATCGCCCAATTTGCAAGGTCAATTTACTCGAGTTTGATTTTCTGTCTGTTTTTCTTTTGTATTAGTTTTGTTTGCTTTTATCTGTTTGCATCCATCTCTAACATGGGATTCATGATCATAAGGGACAACGGTAGGAATCAAGTCATGGTATTTAGGATTGTAAGCATTTTGCAATAAATTTCTAGATTGTTTTGTAAAAAATTTGGACATACATAAGGTTTAGCATTAGTTTTCAATAGAGTACACATTCTTTGGTGTTAGAGGAGGTATTTGCACAATATGAAATTGTTTGCCACATACGGCTGTACTCGCTACTAAGAATGCAAATTTTTACCTTTTATTTAAAGTTCTTAATAGACATTTGTGATCATTTCAGGTTGGGGATTTGGGTCTCTCAAAGGTGAAATGTCAGACATTAATATCGGGTGGTGTTCGGGGAACACTTCCATGGATGGCACCCGAGCTTCTAAATGGAATCAGTAGCCTTGTTTCTGAGAAGGTTTCTAAACTAGGCTACTCTTCTCAGCTTGGTTATTTGTCTCTATTATGTTATTTTCCCCTCTATCGGATGCCTTAATCTGGATACTACAGGTCGATGTGTTTTCATTTGGAATTGTCCTCTGGGAACTTTTCACCGGTGAAGAACCTTACGCCGACTTGCACTACGGGGCGATCATAGGTGAAACCCTTTGATCCATAATTCTTGTGTGCCGGATTGTATGCTTTGTTTCTATTCTAACCAAAAATTGAAATCAGGTGGTATCGTTAGTAATACGCTACGGCCGCCAATTCCCAACTTCTGTGACATGGACTGGAAATTGCTGATGGAGAGATGTTGGTCTGCAGAACCATCAGAGAGGCCAAGCTTCACTGAGATCGTGAACGAACTACGGACCATGGCTACAAAGCTTCCTTCCAAAGAGCAAGGATCAACACAAGGAGCACAATCTTAAGACTAGCTGTTTCATATGAATTGAACCATGTTCAAATATATAACCATACAAGACGTTACATGAAAATAGGTAATGGTAGTCTATAAACATCCACTACATCTTTGCATATTTTTGCTGTGCCAACATATAAAACACATCTCCTTAGAATCTCCGAATTCTTTTTTTTTTAGATAGCAACCACAACTTCCATGACGAGTACATAATTAAGTCTTTTATAACAATCATAAGAAAAGGTCAGACATAATGTAAACGCCCTAGCAGATCGAATCGAATCCGTTTAATCTGCAGAGACTCGGTTTCTGATTCCTCCCGAGGCAAACCAAGATCCTTAAAACATTGTTTGGCTGTCTTCTCCAACAAAGCATCTTCTGAGAAACAAGTGTGGCAAATCTTGTCAATAGATTTCTTCAACTCCGCCAATGATGAGTCTTCCTTTAACATCTTCTGCCCGGTTTGCAAAATATAGGAGTTCAAAGCATCGTTCAACTGCCCCAGTAAGTCCATCTTAGAGAACAAACGATACATCCTACTAAGGTCATCATGGCTTCTCTCATCCATAAACTTCACAAAACCCTGCAATCACAAGTGCTTAGAAAACATATTGTTCACAAAAATCAAAGAGATCAAAGGGAAAAGAGAGCTAGCTGCTTATGAGGACCTTTTCAAGAATGACAGAAACATGATCCCTCAGAAGTATTCTCTCAACAGCTTCCATCAACGATTTCTTGAACCCTGAAAAAAAGTAGAAGTGTCTGCAATTTTCCTTCTCCTTACGCAACATTTGCTCGACATGCTTCAAATACTGGGGAATGTCGGACTGCTCCTTGAACTGCAGTGATTCTGCTGAGTAAAACTCAACAGCACAGTCCATAAAAGGCTTCTCGAAGAAGCGAGACTTGTAGAACCATGGCCCATGCAACAAAACCCAAAGATTCTTTAGCTGAGTCGTGTCAACAGCCTTGCCTAATCTGGTGGTAACAATGGAAAGGCAAAAGAGTGATCTCAGTAAATCCAAATCTATCAACACGTAATAACAATGATTGTATACAAAACATTCTAATATCACATTTACCAATCTATCCACCCTAATGTAACAGAAATTTACCTTTGATCTCTTATGAGGTCTAAGTTGATGGAAAGAAGCTTGTCACGAACTTTAGAGGCTAAGCAGAGATGCTTGGGGAAAAGCTCAATACCCAAGTCCGACAATGATTTTAGACCAACTGTATGACCTTCATACGCAATGCTACAGAGATCCTGCAACTTGCGGCGAAACTCTAGGCAACAATTCTCTATGCGTGGCAGGAAAACAGAGGGATCATCATCGCAATGCGATTCTAAAGACTGTATAGCTGCAGAGATGTATATCTCACACTCCTCCAAGATCAGCTTGTAAAGGGTTTCTCCTGATGACTTTGACCACCATGCTTTACGAACAGCCTGGATGATGCAAGAACAGTCAAGAAAAAACATTTAGAAAGAAAGAAGAAATAAGCAAAAGTAGATACGACAACATACGTTGAAAATCTCAGAGCAGTGAAAATCTTGTGCCTCATCGAGGAAGATGGTTCTTATAGCTGGTTTTAGCTTTGTCCAAGCATCATCCAAATAGATTTTAGGGTCTGGTTTAGCTATATGATGTCAAAAACATGAAAACAAAATTATGATAGTCAATTAGTCATAGCTACGAATACAGAATACAAAATATGAAAGAGAGGCATACGTATATCAGGGATGATGGGCTTGAAAACCCGCAAACCAGGAGTACTCTTCATGGAGATATTCGCAGGAAGAGAAAGGCTCCGATCTTCATCGTTCTTCTGCTTACTGGAGGATAAATCGCCGTCAATCTTTAAGCTACTCATGTGGGGTGGATTAGCGAGTGCCGATTCGAACCCAAGATAACCGCCAGGATCTCCAGCGTCCTGATACTTCCCCTTCTTCTTCGAGGAGGACGAATCGCCGTCAGTCATTAGGTGTTTCTTAGGCGGTAGACTCATGGCAACCGATTCCAAACCAAGAGAAATTCTCTGAAACCAAAGCGTACAAACGAAACCCTAAGAGAAAGAGGAATTTCACCCAATTGCGCAACACGGCCGTTTCGAAGTTAAAATTCCCTAAAGTATTGATCAGAAAAGGGAAAATTCTCAGAAAAACAAAACCTAGTAACTTTTATTTGGATATAATACCCAATATTTTTGGATTAGAATAAAAAATACTTTATCTAATTATTTGTGATCATAAAATACCTCATATATAAATTATTAGTGGAATCGAAAAATATTGGCTTCTACGTAAATAAAATAAAATTATTGGCTGAGATTTTTGTTTCATTAAATGGTAATTTATTTGGTAAAATTCTAAAAAAAAAAATCCAACCTAATTTTAATTTATGTTGTGAACTGTGTCCTCTCATTAATAGAATAAGGGATATATATACAATGATAATAGCAGGATACATCTACTATACATTTTTGCAACACTTTTTGGGGTTCCTAATCGGGTCAAATTTTGTTTAATTTTGACCCGGAAATCTTCAATCGGATCTTTTCTTATTTTTGACAAAATTAAAAAACGAAAATTAATCAATAAAATCTAAAAAATATATATTTTCTCAACTAATTACTATACCTAAACCCTTTATTTATGGCATATTCTCTACAATTTTTATAGATATAGAAATCAAATATAATTATTTAATGCTAATATAACAAATTTGAACTAATTTCCTAAAACCTCTCTACCTAATTAAAACATAAATATATGATTCTCATTTCACTTTTATATGATCTTATATTTATATTATTTTGAACTATTATAAACTATATATACTTAATAAAAAAATTTGATTTTTTTCTGCATATGCTATGATTCAATTTTTTTTAAACAGACATATATTACTCAATCGATGAAGAAAAAAGTATGTGTACAATCTATATTAACATTTTTGAAAAACAAATTTGCGCGTTTAATCAGGTCGTATTTTTTTTTTTTACTCTGACCCGGAATTGAGCCATTCAGATATTTTCTTAATTTCTACAATTATCTAAAACGGGACAATATACCACGGTGAAATCTTAAAATTAACAAATCGAAATACAATTATTTAGTATTTTAATATACATTTTTAAAATATTTTTACGGGTTGGTCTAAAAACACACACTAATTTGAAAAAAAAATATATATATATATATATATATATATATATATATATTATAGAAACTATTTGAAAGCAAACTTTTAAATTGACTCGGATTATATGTCTTTTAAATAAAAGTTTTATTAAAAGAAATAACAAAATGATGTTTAATTTTACGGGACATGATTATATGGTGGGACGGGTCGGATTTGGATTGATATTAATACGGGATAATATATCACGGGTGAAATCCTGGGATTAACAAATCAAAATACAATTATACAATTTTAAACACTAAACAAAACAAATACAACTTAAAATTTTCATTTTTAGTTACAACGCATGTGACTCGCAATGTACCACAAAAAATATTATATACAACAAATTCATCAGTTTATAAAAAAACAAAAAAAATCAAATAATTAACCCGCGGTGTACCGCGGGTAACAATCTAGTAGAATAAGGTAAAACCCTAATGGGCCATGGGCCGGTTATGGAGTCCATCCATATGGTTTATAACACTCCCCCTTGGAAGACATAACCGTGCCCGATACTAAACCGGGATCTCTATAATGCGCTAGGGAATGTTGCCTCATTAAAACCTTACCAGGAAAACCCAGTGGGACAAAACCATGGTGAAGGAAAAAGAGTACAACACGCATTACTCCCCCTGATTTGAGCATCACTGTAGATCCTTAAGTCCGCGCATCCCGATCTGATGAATGAGCTTCCGGAACGTTGAAGTCGGCAATGATTTGGTGAATAGGTCGGCTGAATTCTCACTTGACCGGATCTGTTGAACTTTGACCTGACCGTCCTTCTGTAATTCATGAGTGAAGATGAACTTAGGCAGAATATGCTTCGTTCGATCCCCTTTGATATAGTCATCCTTTAGTTGAGCAATACAGGCTGCGTTGTCTTCAAATATGATGGTCTTTGATGTAGTAGTAGTAGTAGTAGTAGTAGTAGTAGTAGTATTAGTAGTAGTAGTAGTAGTAGCTGCGCCTTAAGGAAGGCTGCCTACGTACCCTTGGAAGGGATTAAGCCACACGTAGTTCCTATTCATTGACCATATCATAATCTGATCTTATGAATAACCTGCATCAGCAAATCAAACTAAACCAAAGCAAACTGGATCTTCTTTGGTTAGATCAGTATAGAATAAACCCAAGTAAACAACGCAGGAAGAATAAACTTTAAAATTTAACCAAACCTTCCTTTAAACTTTTCCAGTGCCTTTGGGTTGATCATGAACTAAATTTAGACAGGAGACTCACGGCAAAACAAATGTTTGGTCTAGTGTGTCTAGCAAAATTCATTAGAACTCCTATGGCACTGAAGTATGGCATTTCCGGACTGAGTGGATCACTATCCAATCTGAGGCTTCTCACCACCATTGGGCCTGGTCAATGGGCGGGCCTGGTCCTTATTAAATTTCCTTGAGTACTCTTTCAGTGTATGCCATTTGATGCACAAGGATTCCATTATTCACGTACTCAGGTTGTAATCCCAAACAGAACTTAATTATTGCCTAGGTCTTTCATTTGAGATTCTTTCTTTAGATATACTCAACTGTTTGGGCGATTATCCAGAGGTTTAAATCATTCATATACACTTCTATGATTACAAATCCTTTGTTTGCAAACTTCTTGATAAAAATACATGGACTGATCAGATCGTTTTTATAGCCTTCTCTGATGAGATATTCACTTAACCGGTTATACCACATATGTCCGCTTTGTTTCAGTCCATATAAGGATTTGTCCAGCCTTATGCAGTGCTGTTCTCGAGAATCTTTCTTATCTTTGAGCTCAATACCCTCTGGTAATCTCATATATTATCCAGTGGACTTATATAAATATGCAGGCATTACATCCATTAGCCGCAAATCTTTCTCTTTTATATAGCCAGACTTAGCAAAGATTTAAATGTCTTAGCATCCACCACAGGGGAGAATATCTCCTCTATTTCTGGTCTTTGTGTGAATCCTTGAGCGACAAGCCGTGTCTGATATATTACGCTTTCACTATGTTTATTTCACACAATCACAAAGACTCATTTGTCCCACTGGCTTTACATTGAATGGTGTCCTTTGTATTGGACCAAACACATTCTTCTTCTTAATGATTCTTAGCTCCACGTTTTATGGTCTTGTACCATTTTAATCAATCAGGTCTTTGAGTGCACTCTAGTATAGACGTGGGCTCCTGATCCTCATTCATTTCAGTTGCTACCTTGTACGCAAATATTTTATCATTGATGTCGACATCTTTTCGGTTCCATTGTATTCTAGACATGATATAGTTTATAGAGATCTCTTTACACCTTCAGGACCTTGAGGTTTGGCATCCCAAACCCCATTGATTGGTACCTTAGGGTTATGTCTATTAGCCGGCCATGTCTATGGTTTCTTGAACCTTCTCGGTTTCCCTTGCACCTTTCTTTGATTTCCGAGGGTTCTTGTCTTTGGAACCTTTTGGGTCTACCACATTTCTTACATGTTGTAGCCTCTGTAGCAACTTGATTGTGTTTCTTGTGAACATCAATACGTACTGGCGCATTACAAGCTGGTATGTACGATTTTGTTACTCTCTTTGGGTCATTATTGGAATCTTGGCAACTGTTTTAGCTAGCTTTTGCAGATATATAGTCTTTTGGATCTCTGATGGAGTCTGAGGATCTTGCCATGTGAAGGATGTTTGATTCCATGTAAGTTCTTTGACCAGCTTGTTAGTCTCTCCACCCAGTGTTGGGAAAACGGATTCATTGAGATGACAATCCTTGAATCTGGCCTTTGGCTCGAGATACTTAATGATGGTGGGAGAATCATTGTTAACGTATATTCCCATCCCCTTTTGAGGTCCCATCATTTGCTCTCTGTGGTGGTGCAATGGGTACATAGACTGAACACCCAAATGTCTTAAGATGGGAAACGTCTGGCTCATGACCCGTTAGCAATTGGGATGGGGAATATCTATGCTCACTAGAATGGCATGATGCGTATAAGCTCTTGTTGCATGTAATATTGTGTGTCCCCAAGCAGCTGCTGTCAGTTCAAGTATGGACATGTGCCACGGGGTATACTACTCTCCCCCTCATGGACATACTGTAGCCATAAAACGCTTGAGACATAATTTACCAGCATTATCTAGACATATAGTCTTAAGTATGTGGGCTCACAGACTTATGGTCTGGGCCAGCAATCTAGCAAACACCAAGTTTCTAGTTGCTTTGACTGGTGATGACCTTAGTATGGGTTTCCCTTGTGTACATGCTGCACACGTGAGGTTCTTAAGGAGTGTGCCCTTTTGATTTTAATATCAGCTTTACGCATCATGTTAGAACCAGGCTGGCCAAGCCGGTCATGCCATTAGTGAATTTCTCAGTAAACCCTTTTGTTTACTGTATTAGCCTCTATCATATTGACCTTGGCATAGTAAAGGTCTATGACGCGGGTATAGTCTCTAAGACCTTCTCATGGTCTTGGGTGCTCTTAGTAATATATGGGAATCCTTTGTTCCCTTCACCCTTAGTTTCAATGTGGAAACCATTCAAACACTTTTCTTTGAAACTCAACAAGGCCCCTTTGAGCTGGGTGAATATGAAGCATCTGAGGATGCGTGCCCTTGGGAATATGGGCCTGCCATGGGCCTGCCCTTAGCCTTCACTAAATTTAGCTATACCCGCAATTTGGCTAATCAACCATGTCTTTGGATATTTCGTTGGCATTCCGAAGTCTCATAGTCATCTATCTCATGGTCGAAATCTTCTTCACCATTGTGATGAAATGAGCTTCTAGATTCTTTTCAAACTCTCTTGATAGAGATCAATGAGATGCTTAGGAGTCATGCACGTCTTAGTCCAATGGTTTCCCCATTCCTCATCAGTGGCAAACAAGTTTATTTGAGTGTTGTGGTTTGGGTATACCACGGCCTCTAACTCGATTACGACCAAAGTCGGGTCGGCGGCCTTAACCATATGAATGGTTTCCTTGATC